TGATGGTATATTTTTTATTGCATATTTGATTTAATCAGGCAAACAATAGCCTCTATGCAAATTTTCATCAAAATTTCATTACGGGATCAAAACTGTATCGTATGCCCTTAAACCCCGCCAAATTGTGTGTTTGTACCAAGTCAGGTTATCTAAACAATGTATTTTTCGTTTTTGCAGGTTTCTGTACGTCTATATATTTTTGGAGGAGTCATATGTTAGTGGTTGCTGTTGTCTATAGTACTGTTCAAAATGTTTGATAATTCATGTTATCCGTAAATCTTATATCAACTTTCTCTTTTTTTCATCGAAAAGCTTAATGTTTACATTAATTATTTACCTGTTAAAAACAAGATTTGGTATTGCGAAACTGGACATGGTTATTATAAACGTACGCAAGAACATAAGCGCTCCTCTTTTCGAAGATATCAAAGGAGAATAAAAGAAATCTTCAACAAAATTGTATCATATAGCTCATAAGGTCGCAGAGTATTATGCATCCCTGGCTTTCGAATGTTTAGGCATGAGCGTTTTAAATGAAGGTAAAATCCAGAAAAACTCTTCGGACTCACGCAATTTATTAAGTGTTTTTTCTATCTAATGATAAGACATCAATCTTCATTTTTTTCATTTTTCATTATCTATAAATCAATGAATTATTGACTCGGTTTCATTCATATAAGATAGCTAGTTTCCATCTTAATAGTTTGTCGCAAGTTAATCTTCTTTCCATCCATTTTACAAAATATAATTTTTATAATTTTGTTACGAAATGCTTGACTCATAATTCAAACAGACAAGACCGTTAAAACATTATTTTTTTAACTGCAATACTAGGATTTACTTGTATTAATATACCTAGTGTATTCAATGATCATATTGTTAGATAAATCAATCGTTCTTTGATCACTTCTGAAACTATATTCAAAGAAAAATCCAAGTTTATGAGGCCTAAAAATTGCCCATGATAGAATCATCTAATAAATAGCTAGACATATTGTCGATGTTATATGTAATTGATACGTTATTGCCATACAAAGCGTAACTACTATATTTTAACTCAATTTTTATTTAAGAATTGCCAAAGACTTGTGAAGTGTAAAGGATGGAGAAGTAAAATATTTATTAAACTATTGCAAAAGGGAAAGACTTGATGATTGTATGTACTCTTACAGATCTTTTGAGTTTTTTTTAATATCCACATCTGATTTACTTTCATAGCAACTCAGTAGCCCTGGTTTGATTGCTGGTAGAATTTTTTTCACCTGGTGCCTTTATTCGACTTATGGTTTTTAATTGCTTTTTATGGTGTCTTCTCACGCTTAAAGGTAATATGGAAAGAGGTTTAGTGGAGCGTTTGACAGATCTTACAATACATACTTGTTTGTTTAGTGAAACTTGTGTTATGTATCCAGTTAAGTGAGGGCAGATTTCTTTCGTCATGTTTGGTTGAATTGCCAAAGGAAAAATAAACTAAACCTATCCTTGTTCAGAATTTCTTCTGTATTAAGTGTTGTTGAAGTATATGTTGGGTTCCAAAGAGAGTTTTCAATACCTATCTCCTTTATCGGTTCATATGCATGTAATGTGAATTACACCTATACACTATACTGTTTGGTATACTATGCGAGGACAATAACATATGTGTCATGAAGGTGAGACAGATGTCTAGCAAGTCCTTGAAGATGCATAATGCATGATTGATAATATAGCTGTAAATTTAGAGATTTAAAAATCTTTCAAAACATGGATATGTCTTTCATATATATGGATTAAAACAATCAATAAAATTTAAAAAAAAAATTAAAATTGACCTTGACCTTAATGCGATTTGCTTAGTTTTGATATACCGACAATCTACTACAGATTTATATTACCACTTGGAATATTTCAAACCTTGTATTCTGTTATATATCTATTAATATCAAAACTAAGCAGCCTAGATAAAATTGTATTTGGCTGTGACAACTATCCAAATGACGTGGATATAAGCAAATATAGGTCAAGGTTCGGCCTTCAACAATGAGAAAATCCAATACTGTATAGTCAGCTATAAAAAGCCCAGACATGAAAACTGTGAAATAGTTCAATCGAGAAAACTAACGGCCTAACAATACAATTTACGAAAAACAAATACTACTTGTTTTGTTGTTTCCATGACAATAGCCGTTCTATATTGTGCAGTATTCATTTATCTAAATATTTTTCAGTTTAAAACAGCATTTCCAGACACCTTTGCAAGTATAGCTTCTGACAACTTCCGGGGAGACTTTCTTAATTTGATATACCGTCAAAAAACTAACGATTCATACTTAGCTGCAGAATTTCTTTCGTCTTGGAGAGAGCTGGGAAAAGCAAAATATGAAATAGAATCTCTTCCCCTGACGTTTATAAAGTTCAGCGAAATATCACCTTTGTTAAAAAACGTCCTCATTAACTTCATGCGTAGTGATCATGGGAATTTTTGGGAAAGTGATTTAAATGTGAATGGTTTACCAGCCATATGGTTGACGGACTCAGGTAATTTTCAACTGTTGCGAAATCTTAAAATATTTTATCACAGCAACACAGACATATTTTCTGTATCAATTTTATTTATAATGGTTTAATTATGGCACCTGTTATTTGTCCTCAGAATGGGCAAGGTACACAATCATGTATAAAATACAGAACAAAAAATTCAACAACTCTTAATTTGTAAGATGGCAAATTATGATTGAGTTACCTTTTATTAGAAAGTTTTAAGATGTGTATTTTTACTTATAGTAAATATATTTTGGCCTTGAATATTTGTGTTAAGAAAATGTAGAAGGTAAAATTCTAACTGCCGTTTCAATTTATTTTGCAGCTAATTTTCGAGGTGATATGATACAATGTTATCATCAAGAATGCGATAATTTACAAGTTATGCTGACCGATGAAAATATAAATTTCCTTGGAAAAACTGCTGATGCAATCGTTAAGACGATGCATAAACTTTCAGAACCTTCGGGATCTGGTTTGTAAATTTAATTTTTGCACTTCAATATCCAGTTTCGCCTTTAAACATGAACCAATGACGTTATTTACTTGGTTTCTTTTGGATTTGGAACTTCTTATATTCACGACCATGCACCGAGGAACGTTTAAGGTCATATTCAGATGAAAACAAGTTATTCTAATATGTCAATGCGACACGAACAATAAAACTATAAATGAAATGACATCTGGAACATGCATAAATGTGAGAAAAGCAATTAGCTTTTATAGGTTGGAAGTTACCAAGGTGGCAATGAAACTTTTGAATAGATACAAAATAGGCAAAAAAATAACACTTTATAAATGTTGGTGCATCCTAATCGCTTTTTTGGATTCACCTTCATCTAGAACGCTCAAGCCCGAAAATTCTTAAGGTAGATCATAAGTATATACTTTTTGAGATAGAATTTTCTTATACTTTGCCAAAAGAAAGATTTTCAAAAATATAATAAAAAGTATGGGTCACCGTGCTATTTTCCAAGCTATGAGTCGTTGAAAATTGCCTAAATTTGGTTAGATTGTTCATGAAAAAACATATTTGTGTGCATAAAAAAAAATCTATGAGATAGAATTTTGAAATAAACTGTAAGAAGATAGGTTTTATAATATGTTTTAAAAATATAAAAAGAAAAAATGGTGTCACCGAACTTGTTTTCTTGCTACAAGTAAAAATAAAATATTAACCTATCACTCCAGTATATATTTTTTACTAAAAGAGTTATCTCCCCTTAAATGGCATATTTGAAAAAAATGATTCAAAAAACACAAAATTTGATATTTGTTTAAATATTTTGAATAATACAATAAATCACCAAAGTTTTCTTTATATAAATAAACAATCTAACCATACAATTGCAAATCTGTCTCCAAATTTGCAGATTTGGGCAAATAACTAGACCAATTTTGTACTGAGATTGTACAATCCAAGATGGCGGTATACCATGAATCTACCTTAAGGCAATGTTAGGAAGTAATTTTGTGTTGTTGTTTATATACGAAATACGAATTATGCTTATAAAAAAAACCTATTCTAATATGTGATTTACATCAACAAATCAAATGTTTTGGGTGTTTTCCAAATGCTTCACAATCAATGATACTGTAAGCAATTTCTAAAATTGAATTATTGAAATGTATATAATCATTTTTCAATTTATTGTCTTATTCGTGTTGCTTTCATCAAATACTAAATTGTACTTTTAGGAAAAAAAGCAGATTCTTCGTACAAAACTATCAGTGCAGGCGGCATTTTTGGAATAATAATAGCAGTTATAGTATTACAGATTCCTTTAATTGTGGCATGTATAATGTGGAGAAGAAATAAGTCAAATAATGAACAGAAGAGTTCAAGGGAATTTGAAAACCCCTCTTATGGAGACAAATAATAAGACAGATAGTGGAACGTGTGTACAGGCAAAACTTTGTATTGCTAAGCAAGGCTGTGAATGATTAAGCGTTTCAATAAACTTACTTTTTACACATATTAGATATAAAAACGTTTCCTCTATCTACGTTTACATCATGGCTAGGTTTGGTTTAACTGATTTATCGTATAAGTTATATAATACCTTTTACCGCGAGGCCAAGTTTTATAACCTCAATATTTAGTTTTGTAAATGAAAGCATATTGATTTCATGAGAGTCAGGAGAGACCGATGTACATAGAAAAAATTCAAACATATGTTTTCATATGAAAAACATATGTTGCAATTTCTCCTGTATAGGTTCTTTGCTTTTAAAAACTGTTTCGACATGCGTGTGGTTTTGTGTGTGTGTTCAAGATTGTGACTTCATGGTACAACAAACTATTCTTTTCGAGATTATGTGCATGTATGTCATTAAAAGTTATGCATATTCTTGGGTCCTTTCAAAAATGCATTCTACGTGAAATATTTGACAAATGGTGTCTGCATTACACCATGAGTCTGAAAAATGTTTTGAAAAAAACAAAACTATTTATTCTGTACTCATATCTATTATGCAATGCGCAACACTTGCAAGTAAACAAATCAAACAATATGTGAAAATCATGAAAACAATTTACCATTCACAGTCATTCAATCTTTATTTTTTTGCAAAACTTCAGCAAACACTATAAAGTCATCACAGTGTGGGAATGAAACTACTTTTTTTTATTCGGGATATAGTCAATCAGGGATCCGCCATTTGAACGATTAATAAGTTGCTGAATGTAAGGCTTAATTGATTAACACATATGTTACTACATAAAGTTTGTCGCTTCGAGATTTAGTAATGAAAATGTTCTACTTGTATATAATAGATAAATCTGTATTGAAAAATTACACCCATAAAGGTCAAGCAATAAAAAAAACCAATCAAATAATAAAAATGACATGACACCCAACATTTTTCTTAGAATGGTGGATCTCTGAGTAAATCGATCTAAACTATCACATAACTGTCAAATAACGTCTATTATTTAGGCATTTTACAGATTATTGACAAATCAACAAAATGGTAAGGTTAAAATGTTGCTTTTCTCGATAGTATTAATTTGTTTGAGAAGGTTTATGTTTTGATAATTTTATTCCCTTAGACAAGAAATTATGTGTACAGACCACACATTAAAATCGTAATATATGGCATCTGTCGAAATAAGCTTTTAAAGATAAAGATAAATTGAGATATACAGTTAAGTGTGCCTCATATCTTGACTTGCATCTAGAAATTGACAATGAGGGTCGGTTGAAAAAAAAACTTTACGACAAAACATGATTTCAGATTCCCAATTGTGAACTTTCTATTTTTTATGTAGCAACATTCCAGCAGCGCCTGCATACGGAGTATATATCTCCCAGTTGATACGATATCCCAGGGCTTGTATATTTCCTATCATGATTTCCTTGATAGAGGGTTGCTGCTCACAAGGAAGCTATTAAACCAAGATCGAGTTCCAATTGGTGAAGTTAAAACCATTCCTGCGTAAATTTTACGGGCGCCATCACGAGTTGGTTGGCCGTTAGTGAATATCCGTTTCACAGATGAAAACGGATATGTTCCAATTGTCATAACAACAATCCCGTCCCCTTTTTCCCGAATGTGACCTACCGAATTAGACTTATCACCGGGTGTGTACTAACATGAGCAACACGACGGGTGCGACATGTTGAGCAGGATCTGCTTACCCTTCCGGAACACCTGAGATCACCCCCAATTTTTGGTGGGGTTCGTGTTGCTCAGTCTTTAGTTTTATATGTTGTGTTTTGTGTACTGTTGTTTGTCTGTTTGTCTTTTTTTTTTAGCCATGGCGTTGTCAGTTTATTTTCGACTTATGGGTTTGAATGTCCCTTTGGTATCTTTCGCCTCTCTTCTAGAATATATTTCTGTAATAGAGCATTTAATATTACCTGACTGCGTTCAAAAATATGACAATTGCTAATTTTTAAAACAGATTGAAATATTGAACACTTTTTTTGTCCGTATATTGTCTGTCAAATATTTTGATAGGCATTGAATCATAATTAAACAATGCACAGTCAGGTTTTAAAAATCGTCGTAAGGAGTAGAGATCGGCTGTAGGCACAAGTCTAAAGGCTTCGATTAAAGCTGCATCTCGCTGTGCCTTGACTTTGCTTATATTTTGTACACTTGAAATAGCATTTTTTACTGCGACAAATAAGTCTTTTTTTGTCATGCGACTTTCAGTATATTCTGCATCGAATGGAAATTGTTTATGAATCGATATCAGACCTCTTATCTGCATTTCTCTCCATGTGCGCATAGTTGCATTGTAAAATGAAACACAGCGTTCAAGTTTTTTTCGCATATTGAACAAACGTTGACTTTGAAATATAGCTCTTGATTCTGTTGTTTCAGACTCAAAATCACTGAATGTTATGTTTGTGCCGTGTTGAATATTTAAATATTCCAGCAAAAACAAAATATCTTCTTTAAAAGATTCAAATTTCCCGATGAAGTCGTATGAAATTTGACATGGCCGACAGTGTTCGTATAAAGGTGCGTAATGGCGGTCTAGATTTCGACCCTGTTTTTCGGATTTAATTATATACTTTACAAACTCCGGAAACGAGACATCATGACCACATGACATAGAATGGTTATCAACGTTATCTCGAGTGTTTGCAAGCACTGATCTTCCTGTTACGTCCCAGTAAACATTGTTAGGTGCGAAAAGTTTATCAACATATCCAGACAGTACTCTAGAATAGGGTTCACGAACAAACATAATCTTGTCAGTATTTTCCATAATTGAATTCAAGTCGGACAATTTCCATTCATTTTCGTCAAACGCATTTTTTAAATTATTTTTCTTACTTTTCTGTGATAACTTTCTAAGTAAATCCTTGATAAATTTTGTCCCTACCTTCTGAATTTGGCAGTAAAACAAATTATGTTGTTTGTCGATTAAAATATTAAATTTGAAATCTGTATCCGTAGATTTACCTTTAAAGCCATCAGTGCTATTTAGACATGTTTGTTGTAAGTGAATGATCCGCTCCTTATATCTTTCTGTAATTAAACTGCGACGCTTCTGAAATTGAATAAACCAGAACTAGTATTCTCTCTGTGACATTTGAAACACAGTCAGGAATAACATGATCTAACATTGATTTTATTTTTGGGTCTTTCTTTTCTTTAATTTTTTTTTTTTTTTTGTGAATCAAAAGTTTTCAACATGAATGGTACACCCAAATAAAGAAGGAAAACAATATAAAAATAATAATGCAATAACCTTTTGTTAGAATAATACATAATTGATCTATCGCCTGTTTTTTTTTTTATTACACGCGTTATTGTCCGTTTAAAGACCCGAACATGTTTCGTGAAGGGTCGTTCCACCTACAAACACGACGACGGATTTATTCTTAAATGAATATAGCAGCATACATTGAGTACAAAATTACTATTTCAACAAATCATAGTTAGGGGGAAAATACGCAAAAAATAACAATGAAGTTTCTATAGATTATTGGCAAGTAAAAAAGATACGGCAAATGTCTTATATATTTGTTTAACTCAAAGGGTCAAAATCAGAAAGTTGACGAAAGGTAGTGTAAAATAAAAATTTTGAAATCTAAATTATTTTCTGTATGAATATTGGAAAAATATTGGACACCAATACTGAACTTCTCCGAAAAAAACGAAGACCTACAGAGAGAGACAAACAACAACATTCATCACATGACTTGGTACAGACACAAAATATTGTGAGATTAAACAAAGGGTTAGGGTTCAGATATGAAGCTGTAAAACTGACAATTTAACTGAGATTTACTTTATTTGTCGTGAAATGAATGCATGACAAATGTAAATCTTAATAGTATACACATTTAAATCTGAAGTTCAGAATGCGAACTTTAAAGAGAAACATTTTATTTGTCAAAAAGATTATCCTTAAACCAATACGTATTGTTATTTAGATGAAGGTTTAGGTAAGAAGAAATTTTATTCATTAAAATGTTTATAATGGGAAAATCTAAATAATTCTCGATAAGTGATAAAACTTTTTTGATCGTAGATATATTTCCACAACTGCTACAGATTCTCTTTTATTTTATTTAATAAGAACATTGAACACTGGGTTATGTAACATTTGTTGACTTAAAGAAGATGACAATAAAGTGATATTGCAAAAAGCTCTTCCTTTGGTATATATGAATAAAGAGAGTTTCGGGGTTAATATTGAGAAGAAAAGAAGTAAAAAAACGACACCAAAACGACAGCACACGTTTTTAAACATTAGAAAAAAGAACTCTTTTGTTCGTCCAGCTTTAATCGCCATGGATCTACATTATTTGTGACAGAAGTTAACAGGGATTTCTTATAATCTGCAATCAAGCCGAAATTTCTAAATAGACGAAAATAAAAAATAATGACATCCCTGACGAGGTAAAACAAATAGGAAGATGTATCAACGTGTAAACGTGTACCTTGTATCTTCTAGCTTGCATGCTTTGGATTGTATCCGTGTATCCTTGTATCTTTGAACCTTGTAGCTTGTATACTCGGGCTTCTTTCCTTCTATCTTGTGACTTGTATCATCAGGCTTGTATCCTCGGGTCAATACACAGTGAATTTCACCTCAAACGAGCTTATACGTAAAACTCACATGCACTGATTTCACGTGAATCTTAAGAGAATTTTCAAAATAAAGTTATTCAAATAAAATCTAAATTTTCTAATTTAATCAAAAAATCATGAAAATACATTTTTTTTGTAAAGTTCAATTGAAATTCAAGTGAATCTCAATTCACGTGAAATTCACTTGTAACTTGTATCCTCAGGATTGTATCCTTGTATATTGTAACTTGTATCCTCGGGCTCGTATCCTCAAGCATATATTCTCTGGCTTGAATCATTGTATCTTATATCCTCAGGCTTGTAAACTTGTTACTTGTATCCTAAAGCTTGTATCATTGTATCCTCAGGCATGTATCCTTGTATCTTGTAACTTGTATCCTCGGGTTTGTATCCTTGTATTTTGAAACTTGTATCCTCAGGCATATTTCCTCGGGCTTATATACTTGTAACTTGTAACTTGTATCCGCAGGGTTGTATCCTTGTATTTTGTAACTTGTATCCTCTGGCATGTGTCCTTGTAGCTTGTTACTTGTATCCTCGGGTTTGTATCCTTGTATTTTGAAACTTGTATCCTCAGGCATGTTTCCTCAGGCTTATATACTTGTAGCTTGTAACTTGTATCCGCAGGGTTGTATCCTTGTATTTTGTAACTTGTATCCTCTGGCATGTATCCTTGTAGCTTGTTACTTGTATCCTCGGGTTTGTATCCTTGTATTTTGAAACTTGTATCCTCAGGCATGTTTCCTCAGGCTTATATACTTGTTACGTGTAACTTGTATCCGCAGGGTTGTATCCTTGTATTTTGTAACTTGTATCCTCTGGCATGTATCCTCAGGCTTGTATCCTTATATTTTGTAACTTGTATCATCAGGCTTGTATTCTCATGCTTGCATTCTTGTAGCTTGTTACATGTATCTTCGGGCATGTATCCTCAGGCATGTATCCTCAGGCGTGTATACTTGTATTCTGTAACTTGCATCCTCAGGTTTGTATACTTGTTGCTTGTTTATTATTTGTATCCGCATGCTTTTATCTTTGCATCTTATAACTTATATACATCATTAGGCTTGTGTCCTTGTATCCTCAGACTTGTATCCTTGTAACATGTTCCTTATATCCTCGGGTTTGTATCCTTGTATTTTGTAACTCGTATCATCAGGCTTGTATCCTTGTATCTTGTAACTTTTGTACTCAGGCTTGTATCCTCGGGCTTGTGTCCTTGTGTTTTGTGACTTGTACCCTCGTGCATGTATCCTCATGCTTGTATCATTGTATCTTGTAACTTGTACCTGCAGGCCTGATTGATCTTAGAAGAATTTGGCTATTCTTTTTATGTGCCTTTTTGTCATTTAGCTCATAACCTTTCTAAGTATTTCGTGTTTATACATAACTCGCTTTGAAATGTTTGGGTTTCATCGTTCCTGATGAAGGTAAATCCAGAAAAGCGCATCGGATGCACGAAATTGATAAGTTTGATTTTCATGTGTACGTAGCTAATGGAGCTTATTTGAATGAACGCAATCATACATAACAAAGATAAAGGGAATCGCAAACAATATCAATGTATGACTCCTCAAAAGAAGAAAAACAGACACACAAACAACATAAAAAAATAACGAATAACGCATGGTCAAGTAAATGTGACTTGGTACTTTTGATTGGCTAACAACAATAAGAAGGACTTCCAATATCAAATTGTATTTTGAACAGATATATCATGTTATGGAGGGGTATTTGCGAAAACTACCAGTCAAGGGACTGTAAAATTTCCCGAGCCGCTAGGCGAGGGAAATTTGGTCCCAAGACTGGTATTTTTCGCAAATACCCCACCATAACATGATAAATCTGTTTAATTACACCGAATAGATTTGGATTGAAACTAATTCATTAACATGTTTATGCATAATTTTGAGGATAGGAGGATATTATCATAGAACCGCGGGAATTATACATGTACTAATACTCATAGCTCGCTTTTTTATGAAACGTCATATCCGAAAAAAAATTTGACGGGAAAATGCTCGAGAGGGTATAAAAAGGAATATCCAAAATGGCAAATACCATGGTATTGGAGGCAAATTCACCGGCAGTGGTGAAAAACAGGCAAACTCGTTTGAAATGAGGAAAAAATATTAGAATATGCGAAAAATACACTGGCTATCAACCAATCAAAATCCGGCTTTCTTATATAAGGTATAATTACTCAATAAAATTCACATTCATGACTGCACGTGCTTCCCATGACAACATCAATACAATGCATATGAAAACAAAAGAAAGTCTTGATATATCTCGTAATTTCATAGTTGTAGCATTTAGATGTAATTATAAGAATTGGATTTAGTATGAAGCGCTTCATACAAAATGTGCTTCGGTCAACGCTTTTACACCCCAATAAAATTACAAATTCTTAAATAATTTACTACGCACTGTAAACCCTTTCCAATTTCTAAGATCATTTTGAATCAGTTACCGCACATGGATATCAAAGCGTATTGTCCGTATTATACGATTTGCACACTACTCACCAAAGAAATTCTTGTTTCTCGTACTTCAGTTTGTTCTGAGAACAATTGTCTATCCAGTTCACCATAGAAAATATTATCTAAAATGGAACAACAAAATCTGAAAATTTTATGTAACAATGGATATACGTAAAGTCAGGGCATTTCTCTGGGTTTTATTCTCTCCAAAAATAAGGTTTGCAGACAAAAGTAAGATCATCTTTTCAATAAAACATTTACAGAATAGATAGTTTTTGTTATAATTTTTTTTAATGAATAAAGTAAGGGATTACTGTATAAACATGATAAATGCATTTCGAATTGTGTTCTTCCTAAAAAGTATTTGTCATTTATATATCGTTTATCATGTTTAGAGTCTAAATTTTCAAAATTAATTTACTCGGAACCAATCGAAACATGATAATATCAAAATGAAGGTAAAAAATCTGGGTGAAATTTATTTTAAAATTAAATGGCCTAGTGATTTATTATTCTATTCACAAAAAAAAATGTTTTCCTTGTGTATAATCTATATACACCATTCGCTTGAAAAAAGCCCCGTGTCTCATACTTTTTATTTTATTTTTGACAATAGTATGATATAAACTACATATTAACAAAGTATTACAAAATTATAGTTCTAATTTAGACACTCCCCCCATCTTTAAAATATTCTTTGCCTTAGTGATTTCTCTTTTAATCAATTTCAACGGACAGACATATTGGTGTGACACATTAAAAAGCTTTCAAGATTAATATTTACAACAGAGGCTGCGTATTTATCTATCCCAAATGAAACTAACATATCGTAAATGTGGTAAACAGTATGTTGGTGAGTCAGATCAGCCATTCCACCAAAGTATGAACGGCAATCGTTGTGACTATGAATGTAAGTCAGACCTTCCTCTCAGTCGACATTTGAGATCCACTGACCGCACTAAGGCAGATATCAGTCGACTGACTATTAACATCATTGACCACAACGCTGCGTGGTCTAGGGAGGAGAGAATCACTCGAGTAAGAATTTTGTTAAGAAAATTACCCAATTTTGCAGATACAATAATAGATAGAGAAAAACAGTAAATAGCAAAACTTTTCAGCAAAATAAGATCTACAAATAAATCAACATGGTCGAAATCGTCAACCGATCCCTTAGAAAGATGGTTTTTAACCATGTTTGCCTTTTTCACAGAAACCATAATATGTTAACAATTATTTGGATAATTGATGTTTATATAAAGGATTATCTCAGTTTTAGTCATAAGATAGGGGTTCCCCTTTTTGTACCTCTAGATCATGTTAGCCTCGTTTTCAACTTAGTTTTGGATATACGTCATCTATTTTGCTGCTTTCACATCAATAGCAGTGCACTTATGTCGTCAGATATTTTCATTACGTTTTGATTGGATTTTCATATGCTTTATACAGATGCGTCCTCTTCGATAGGATTTGGTGGATATTACCAACATAAATTGTTTTGTGACCGTTGGCCTGAAAATTTACCATGCAAATCCGACTTTGCTGCTTCTATGGCCTTTTTGGAACTTTATCCTATAGTTGTTGCAGCTGTTCTATGGGGTAAGGAGTGGTGTG